TGGTTAGTAGGATCATACACAAAGTTGCTAACTGGACTTTAAGGTCTCTCTCCTATGCGGGAAGACTACAATTAATCAAGTCAGTACTGGTCTCTACTCAGAATTATTGGTGCAACATATTCATCTTGCCTAAGGGAGTGATTGATGAGCTTAACAAGATCTTTAGAAGATTTCTTTGGTCAGGGCCAGAGATGAAATCCTCAGGTTCAAAGGTTGCTTGGGGTAGGGTTTGCTCCCCAAAAATTGCAGGTGGCTTAGGGATCCCTAATTTGAAAAATGCCAATAGAGCTGGGATGTTGAGGTTTATCTGGGACCTTCAAACAGATGAATCAAACAGGCTTTGGGTCAAGTGGTGCCACTCACATCTTCTCAAATCCAGGAACTTGTGGACATTGAATTTTCTACAGCCTTGCTCCTGGAGTTGGAGGAAAATGTTGCAGATAATACACACTGCTAGACTTCTCATCAAGCACTTAATTGGGAATGGAGCTTCAACCTCATTTTGGTGTGATAACTGGGCTCCAGAAGGTGTTCTTTGTTCTAGATTCTCAGCTGACATTCTAACTGAGGGTGGATTCACTTATGATACAACAGTGGGAAACTTCATTGAAGACAATAATTGGGTTTTTCCCCAAAATCTCACTACTGTTATCCCTGAATTGCTCCACCTGCCTACACCATGCTCCTCCAGAGGTGATACTAAGAGATGGTTACCTTCTCTTAATGGCAACTACTCATTTTCTCATAGAGTCTCTCACCTACAAGGTGAACTGCCATTTGTCCTATGGCACAACCTAGTTTGGCATTCCCCTATCATTCCAAGAATGAAGTTCATCCTTTGGCTAGCTGCCCAATCCAAATTGCCAACCCTTGATAGCAAAGCTATGGCTAAGCACCACAACATTTGCTCTCTGTTCAACAACTCAACTGAGTCCCATGACCACCTATTATTCAACTGCCCCTACACATCCCCTCTATGGTGTTTCATCAGGTACAAATGCAACATTGCCATCAACAATTGGGAAAATCTAATACAGTGGGCAAGCATCAAATGGAAAGCAAACAATCCCACTAATCTACACATAAAATTGGGTCTTTCAGCTCTACTCTATCATACCTGGGAAGAGAGGAATGCAAGAATCTTCAGAGGTAAAAGAGCATCGCAGAGGGTGGTCTGTGCTAAGGTATGTTCTACCATTGCTGCCATTTTAAAGTTGTGTTGTCTTCGCGATTGTCCTTCTTCTAGGTCAATTCTCATGGATTGGAGCATCTCCCAGTTGGCTTATAAACCTCATCCTCGTCCTCTAGATTGATTCTTGGGCGGCCAGGCTGCTTTCTAAAGCCACTGGAATGAAATTTGGCATCCGTTAATAGCTACTGCCGTTACTGGTAGTTACTACCATTTTTTTGGGTTTAGGTTGTTGGATTATATCCTGGGCTGGGCTACTGTTTTAGCCTTGTTGTTAGCTTTTAGCTTATCTGTTTTCATTCTACTCGGGCCTAAGGCCCAATTAGTAAATATCTTTTAATTAATGAAAATTGCTTTAATTTTAAAAAAAAAAAAAAAAACATAATATCAACCACCAAACTATATCAGATCACGTGAACAGCCAAGTCCAATGAACTATGGCAATGAAAATTCTTGTGGGTCCCGGGAACTATACATCACCATTATCACAAAATCTAAGCCTTTCCCACTGAATTTTCGACACCACCTGCCCATCATTCATTCATCAGACAAACTAGATCCGGCTTCATTTGGAGCTCTGCCATTTTTTTTTCCCCTTCTTTTACTGATTGCAGAAAGAAGTGAATGAAAAGATCAATAAATCTTATCCGTTTTTGCTTCAGATATCTCTTTGTTTTCCTTAATTTTTTGATCAATCACTTTGATCAACCACGCGCCAACGCTCCTGCGAAGCAGATCTGACTTACGCATTACTGCCCACAGATCTCACTTGCATTACACGCGCACACGCGCTCCTTCTTCACCATCGGTAGTCAACCCTCCGAAGTGGTGACAAACTCACCATCGTTTCAATTCCTGGTCATAGAGAGGCTGTTTGTGTTCTTTCCAGCCTGTTATTGATTATCGGCTTAGTTCTGACCTTTTATCGACTTTGTTCTGGATCTCATTCATTTATCGAATGGATCACCCTGAATGTCTCCCAATGTTGTTCCAGCCTATTTCTTGGCTTTGTTCCGACCCATTTCCCAGCGTTGTTCCAGCCTTTCGGATGCTTTTCGCTCCACCGTTTTCAAGATTTCATCTCCAAAATCAAGTTGGCTTCGAGAAACTCATCTTGACTTTGTGAGAGAATATTGAAATATATATTTTATATTATACATATATATATGTATAATATATTTACATATATTATACATGTATATTATACATATATATTATATTTATTTTCCTTTCTTTCCACCTTGATTTACTCCTTAATTTATTCCTTTTTGTTTCCTTCTATCCTCCTTGATTTATTCCTTTTTTCTACAACTTTATTTCATATATATTGTGTATCAATACAATGTAAAACATATCAAGAAATACAAACAATAAGAGAAATGTAGTCCATGGATGTAGGCCTTAGTGCCAAACCATGTATATGATGTGTTCTTAATCTTTCCTTTTTCTATTTCATATTCTTATTTTACATCTTATATTTCCGCATCATAAATTTAACATGTTAAATTAAGGATGCGAAAATATAAGATGTAAAATAGAAAGATGGAAGAGAGAAAGATGGATAACACAACATATACATGATTAGACACTAAGACCTACATCCATAGATCAAGAGTCACTTAGGCTACATTTCTCTTATTGCTTGTAATACTTAATGTATTTACATTATATTGATATACAATATATAAAAAATTAAGTTGCAGACAAAAGGAATACATCAACGAGAAAAGAAGGAAAATAAACGAAATAAATCAGGAGTTCCATGACTCCAAGGATTAACTGTTAGAATTCGAAACCTTCTTTAGATATTATTATCCTCCTCCTCCTTGCATTTTTTCTCCTTTATCAAACGTCAATGATGTCAATCTGTCTTCTTCTTTTTTAATAATAGGTATCTTGTATTATTTTTAGTCCCCCTTACCTACTACTATTATAACTAATTTTTCCCGTTTAATCATTATATATATATTTATATATATATATAGGTGGTTAGTTTAATAATTAGCTAGGTCCTAACCTATGAAGTACCGACACGTGTAAATAGGCTGTCGTACCGATGTCCAACACGGACATGCGTGTCCAAAGCTCGGACACAGCTGTAGAGGTGTCCTATTTTTTTTTATCATTTTTTTCATTCCGGACACGGCAAAAGATACGCCGGCGACATGCATAGGACACGAGTTCAGATTTTTTGTCAAAAAAAAGAAAAAAGAAAAAAAGGAGATATATACATATATATATATGGTTGTGTGTATTTATAGAAAGACAGATCGAGGGAGAGAGATGGAGAATATGCGAAAGTCGGTTACAAAAGATTGACCGGAGATTACAGGTTTTATGCATCTACTTTAAGCTTCAGATCAAGCAAGTAAGGCTGGGCTAGTTCATAGGATGATCCGATCCAAGCGAAGCCAGACGAAACAAGGAAAATTCCTTGAATCGGCTCTCTTTTTGCACTCCAGCAACTAGAAATTCCCAAAACAAGGCTTCGTTTTTCATCTGCTTCCCTAAAGATACTTTTCCTCTGCTTCCCTAAAGATACCGCTTAAAAAAAGGTAATAAAAAGAGAAGATAAGATTGTGATCTTATCTTTTAGGGTATTTGGGCCAATATTTTTTAAGGTATATGGGCCTATATTTTCAAGGTATTTGGGCCTATATTTTTAAAGAAAATAATGGATCTAAAGTTATGTTTATTAAATATAAATTAAAAATTGAGTAAAAATAAATAATATATATATATATATAATATGTATTATTATTTTATTGTCGTATCCTTGTCGTATGCGTGTCATGTTTTTTTGAAATTTGTCGTATGGCTGTATCCGTGTCGTATCGTACCCGTGTCCCATGTTCGTGTCCGTGCTTCATAAGTCCTAACACTCTAAAACTAAAGGACATTGACATATTTGTTAGTTTAAAAAACACAATTGTAGCATAAAAAAAAAAAAAAATTAGCATAATACATTATTACGTTTTTATTAGGTTTTCTATGTATATGCACAAAGAAATGCAGACAAACACTCCCTTCATTCTTAGCTAATTCACATATGGCACTGTAGGGGTGTAACTTGACAATTTAGACATAAGATATGATCTCGCGACCCATGAGACTATATATGAAATGAATGAATAATATATTAGATTATCATATTCTACTTTTGGCAAATTCTAGCTGAAAATTAAGCTGGACAAATATTTAATATTCAATTTGTTTGGTCATCAGTCCAAACAAAAAACAAAAGAGATCGAGATCGATGGTGGTGTTCAAGAAATTGCAAAAATTATTGCAAATTATTAAATCCATATCAAAAGAGTGCAGAGGGGCAAATCAAGAAAGATGACCCACAAAGATACGATGAGTTCAGTACCTGCAAATTGTCATTCACAACCATATCCAAAGTTAAGGGTCCTTCCCTTTGATGCCTCTCTCTCTCTCTCTCTCTCTCTCTATATATATATATATATATATATATTATCTATATATATTCATATATATGTTTCTCTTCCCTCTCCTTTTTATTTTTTTATTTTTTTCCTTTCCTTTGGCCTTGGACCATTAATTTGATTTAAAAACTCACATACAAACCATACCTGAGAGACCTCATTCAATAAATGACAATTCCAAATTGCCATACCTTAATTTCTTTTGTTTTTGTTTTCCTATGGTCAAAATTGCCAATTTTCATAATGAGACAACTATGTTTTTATCCAAACCTCTAACACTAACACAATCTATATATATATATATATGCAATTCCTTCACTACTTATGAAACAGCATGAAAATTGTCCATACAGACCATTTTCTCCATGGCAACCATTTCTTCTCAGCAAACCCACATTCCCAAGACCAACAATGAAAAAGAAGAAAGAGAAGACTATGAAACAACATACCAAAAGTACAGTGAGGCACTCCAAACCCTTCCCAAAGAGAGAGGCTGGATGTCTGAACATCTAGTCCAGTACCAAGGCTACTGGTTAAGCCCCAAGTCTGCCCTAAAAGGAGTCTTGTTGGTGCAACACCACTTCAAGGCTCGACCTACCGATATCTTCCTGTCTGCAAACATGAAATGTGGCACCACATGGCTTCGAACCCTGATGTTCGCCACCATGAACCGGTCCCGTTATGACTTCTCCTCCCAGGCCCACCCTTTGCTTAACACTGGCCCTCATGGCTGTTTCCCCTTCTTAGATGCCTCTATATATCAAAACTATCCCATAAATACCAACCTTGATGCTCTTCCTTCGCCTCGGCTCTTTGCTACTCACATTCCATACACTTTGTTACCTCAAAGTGTGACATCTTCTGGCTGCAAGTTTGTTTACATATGGCGTGATCCGAAAGATGTGCTTACTTCTCTTTGTCACTTCTCGGAAAGAATAAAACACAAAGAAGTGACATCCCTTTCACTAAAAGAAGCATTTGAGATGTTCTGTGAGGGGGTCTCACACTATGGACCCTTTTGGGATCATGTGTTGGAGTATTGGAAAGCAAGCCTTGAATCGCCTGAAAAGTTTCTGTTCCTTAGGTATGAGGATTTGAAGAAAGAACCCTCCATTTATCTTAAGAAGTTGGCTGAATTCATGGGGCAACCTTTCTCATTGGAGGAGGAAAGATATGGGGTGGTGCAAGAAATAGTTAAGCTATGTAGTTTCGAGAATTTGAGCAATTTGGAGGTGAATAAGACTGGTGTGCAATGGTTCAGCAATGAACTTGTGGTTGATAACTGCAAGTTCTTCAGGAAAGGTAAGGTTGGTGATTGGCAGAATCATCTAACAGATGAAATGAAAGAGCGACTAGATCAAATCACAAAGCAAAAGTTCAATGGTTCTGGATTGAACTTTGGTGTCTCCCCAAAATAGTAAACGTTGATCGCTTGTGGCAAGCCTTCCCTAGCTAGTACCTAATAATATGATCTTGTCAAAGTTCAATGGTCCCGGATTGAACTTTGCTGTATCCCCAAAATAGTAAGTGCTGATTGCTTGTGGCAAGGCTTGCCTATGAGCGCATTCTGGACTAAGTGAAATTACTTCTGGTGTGGGATGGGTTTTAGACTTGAGATGATGTTGCAGTATGTTTTCTTTCCTTTCTTGTTTGTTTCTGATGTGGCGTATGGTCACCTGTATTTCAGTTTCTATTGTTTTGTTGATATGGCTCCCATGCCATTGTCAATTTGATGAGCTTTGCTATTGTTGCCTTATTTGTGCACATCTCTCCTTTCATTTAATTTAGTTTTAGAATAGCCCTTGTATAAGTAGATCTTGTTGAAACTTGTACCCAATGGCTCAAAATAACATATTTGGGACATACAAGATCTAGTTAAGTCTACAAATGAACTGTGAAGCCTTATAACAAAGATACTTAAGTTCAGTTCTCTCTCTTGAAGGCAGCCTCAAAAGGATCTTTTCCTTTAGTAAAATTGTCAAATGACATCAGAACATGTCATCTACTTGGAGGGAATTAATGTCATCCAATGGAAACAAAAAAACTTTCCCTCCTCTTAGACTATCGCTTTTCAATATGTAAACTATAAAGGTACCATTCTACTCATAACTATTGGAAGTCTCACATTTTTGTATCCTATGGACTTTCCCCCACGTAGGTGCAAAATTTCGCTCAACCAATAATGATTAAGAAAAATAGAACAACTCACTCAACAAATAATAAAAATAAACAAGAACAATATAAAGAGAAGTGTAGAATTGCTTCCTTCCTTTATTGGAGGTCTAAGCCTCTATTTATATTCAAAAGATTGTAGAATTATGGTAGGACTCGCGTTACTTGTCCTCCAATTCTTTCTATATAAACATTCTTTACTAATAGAATTCTTTCCATTGTCTAATTTTTCATGCATAGAACTTGCCTTGTACAGAACTTCATGTCTCAGAATTTTCCTTCTATGGTAAATCCTTCAACTGGTAGGACTTGTGCATTCTTGAATAACTGGGCTGAACATATTTTGATCCGGTTGGGCTTGAATAACGGGCCGGATGTTAAATATTAAAAAGTTGGACTGATGACCTCTTGATTCGGCCTTGATGGAGGTTGGAAGACAAATAACAGTGGTCTTAGGCTAAAAATATACTCAATTTGGGCTTGAGCATGACGGGCCTTTGGAAGATAGATTTACATCTATGATGACGTGGAATATTCTTATTGGAGGGGATTTTTTCCCTCCACACTTTGCCCCCAATTCCCTTTAGTTTGACGTGGCAGTCATAACTAGAGGAAATTGAAAAATTGAGACAGTATGCCTTGAAGGCAGTGACTTATATTTGTCTTCTTGGAAAATACGAAAACCCAAAATCAAGGCTTCTGAGGAGGTTGTAGTTGAGGTGCCCCCATGCTCAGAGGTGGCGTCTTATGTTAAGCCTTCTTCTGTTCAAGCTATTGGCGCTTTCATTTTTTCAAATTGACGACAATCACTCTTGGCGATTAGCTTGGGTGACTAGCCTTAATGAATAATGACGGTGATCATTTTTAATGATTATCCTGGAGATCAACATAGTGTTTTTCTTGAACAATTAGCTTCAACTTTCCTGATTAGCATTCCGAGGTAATTTATACCCTCGACACTGCTCTGTGCTTCAGAGGATTTGATATGAAAACTTTAACTGTCGATTTCTTTAAGTTCGAGGTAATTTTCATGTCATTTTGTTCTGCGGCACTTTTGTGCCTTAAAGAAACTTTGAGGTACTCGGACTCTTGAGGTCTAAAGGCGAATGTTTATTTCTCGGCCATGAGCCTGAAAAGAACAGTATTGTACCGGATGCTTGAGGTTCAAGGCGTGTAGTTCCTCGGCCATGAGTCAGAGAGGAGCTGTAATGTACCAGACTCTGGAGGTCCGAGGCATATAGTTCCTCAGCCATAAGCCTCAGAGAAACTGTAATGTACTGGACTCTCGAGGTCCGAGGTACTAAGTTCCTCGGCCATGAGCCTGGGAGGAACTGTAATGTATCGGACTCTCGAGGTCCGAGGTAGTAAGTTCCTCGGCCATGAGCCTGAGAGGAACTGTAATGTATCGGACTCTCGAGGTCCGAGGTAATAAGTTCCTCGGCCATGAGCCTGAGAGGAACTGTAATGTACTGGACTCTCGAGGTTTGAGGTACTAAGTTCCTCAGCCATGAGCCTGAGAGGAACTGTAATGTATCGGACTCTCGAGGTCCGAGGTAGTAAGTTCCTCGGCCATGAGCTTGATAGGAACTGTAATGTACTGGACTTTTGAGGTCCGAGGTAATAAGTTCCTCGACTATGAGCCTGAGAGGAACTGTAATGTATCGGACTCTCGAGGTCCGAGGTAATAAGTTCCTCGGCTATGAGCTGAGAGGAACTGTAATGTATCGGACTCTCGAGGTCCGAGGTACTAAGTTCCTCGGCTATGAGCTGAGAGGAACTGTAATGTATCGGACTCTCGAGGTCCGAGGTACTAAGTTCCTCGGCAATGAGCCTGAGAGGAACTGTAATGTATTGGACTTTGGAGGTCCGAGGTAATAAGTTCCTCGGCTATGAGCTGAGAAGAACTGTAATGTACTGGACTCTCTAGGCCCGAGGTATTAAGTTCCTCAGCTATGAGCCTGATAGGAACTGTAATGTATTGGACTCTAGAGATCCGAGGCGGTAAGTTTCTCGGCCATGAGCCTGATAAGAACTGTAATGTACTGGACTCTTGAGGTCCGAGGTAATAAGTTCCTCGGCTATGAGCCTGAGAGAAAATGTAATGTACTGGACTCTGGAGGTCCGAGGTAATAAGTTCATCGGCTATGAGCAGAGAAGTACTGTAATGTATCGGACTCTTGAGGTCCAAGGTAATAAATTCCTCGGCTATGAGCTGAGAGGAACTATAATGTATCGGACTCTCGAGATCCGAGGTAATAAGTTTCTCAACTATGAGCCGAGAGGAACTATAATGTATCGGACTCTTGAGGTCCGAGGTACTAAGTTCCTCGGCAATGAGCCTGAGAGGAACTGCAATGTATCGGACTCTGGAGATCCGAGGCTGTAAGTTCTTCGGCCATGAGCCTGAGAGGATCTGTATTTAGGCCAGATAGTCTGGGCTTAAAAAAGAAAGAATATATTTTCTTTTCTTAATATCTCTTTAGGGCTGCTTATATTGCCCCCATTATGGAAGGTATTGCCCCTATGAAGAAAAGAAAAATATGTCTCGTTTGATGGTGGCGATGTAGATAATTTTCATATAATTATACGCACTGGCACTCTTTGTGTTTTGGAGGAGTTTACATGAAAATTTAACCTTCGACATATTTGAGTTCGAGATAATTTTCATGTCATTTTATTCATCGGCACTATTTTGTAATTTTTATGAAATTTGATTCCTCGTTGCAGCTCATTATGCGTTAAAGGAATTCTGAAGTCCTCGGACTCTTGAGGTCCGAAAGATAAATTTTATTTCTCTTTGCAGCTCTGTGTGCCTTAGAGGAAGTTTGAAATCCTTAGCCTCTTGAGGTCCGAATATGAATTTTATTCCTCGGCAGCTCTGTGTGGCTTAGAGTAAATGTGCTGAACCGGACAGTTAGGGTCCAAAGCCAATTGTTCCTCGGTGCTGAGCCTGAGAGGAAACGTGTTGAACCAGACACTTAGGGTCCAAAGCGAATAGTTCATCGGCGCTGAGCTTGAGAGGAATTATTGATTTGTACCGGACACTTAGGGTACGAAGCACATAATTCCTCGGCTATGAGCCTGAGAGGAATGGTTGATTTGTATCGGACACTTAGGGTCTGAAGCACGTAATTCCCCGGCTATGAGCCTGAGAGGAATTGTTGATTTGTACCGAACACTTAGGGTCCGAAGCACGTAATTCCTCGGCTATGAGCCTGAAAGGAATTGTTGATTTGTACCGAACACTTAGGGTTCGAGGCTTTTGTGGTTTTGGCTGCCCCCACTTTTTGGGGCTCTGTCGCCATATATAGTATAACTGCATAATTGGACTATTTGCCACTTCACTTGGGGATCGATCTTTATTGCAATGCGAATAAATCAAACCCAAACATTAATCAACCTACGAACACGGAGCAAATGCAAAGTTATTCGTAAGCAAAGTTATCAGAAGCATGTAAAATGATTCACGTAGCATCTAACAACTGATTAAAGAAAAGAAAGAATTTTAAGAACTTTTTATGTATCACAATTGAATTTATAATTAAAAATTTTAATTAGTATAAAGTATTTACTCATTCTCGTTTATCAAGTACATTAAAATTATTTAATGCATGTAATATTTTAGGACTTCAGGTAATAGACCAAATAGCATAGCTCGTGCATTCAACAATGCCTTTGGCCACGGATCTTTATGCAAGTATAAATTTTAGAAGTCAATGTAGAGGGTCAAACTTTTCTTGTAGTTGAGTAGTGATGAAGTTATGCATCTCTCTGAAGAGTCTGAACCAACAATATCAAGTGTTGTGGTCCTAAAGCTCTGATCAATTATCAACCTTCAGTGAACAATTAATGGATATAATCTAAAATTCTGATCAAAGTCAATTGTGAGCAAAACAGCTAGTAGATATAACTAAAATTGCAATGCTGAAAATCCTCGATGAGGGAGAGAGGGATGAATCCGTAGAGGATTATAATCGAAGAAAGAAAGACTAAAGAATCTGTTGAGTGTTGACATAGACAGAAGTTCAGGTGGTCTCTTTTTTATATCTTTACTCAATAGAGTATACTGAATAAGCAATTTGAACTGAGTCATAAATCTTTATGTATAATGAGCGTCTACATGAATAACAAAATATGATTGCATCATGTGTAAATATATATATATAGTTAATATGTATTTAATTTTTAACAAAAATTCGTATCATGGAAAGCTTAACTCAGATTGTAAAAATCAGAGTCGGAAAAC